AAAAAAAACTCACAAAACATGGGAGAACCGGCAACAGCTCCAAACTACCACCATACAATGTGGGGAGAGGGAGAGAAGCAGCAACAACAGCACCAAGCTGCTGTCGCACAATTACCATTTCATTTCTAATCACATCATTACATATCACGGAAGGGGGAATTCGAGTCAGGAGACGGGACGTTTGCATATCATATGGAATTGAAGGGCAACTTGGCAAGGCGAAGGGATTTTAACCGGCAGCCTCGTTTAACTGCTGTTAATACCTTGTTTCTTTTGCAACAGCTCCCCTCAATCAAGTCAGGTAGCCATAAACAACACGTTGTTCCACTGTTCAAAATCTTCTAATTTGTCATTTTTCTAGTGGTTTTTTCGTTATCGCTAGCTGTTTAAGCTTAATGTGACTCCACCTTTCGCTCTTGTTTTACCCTCCCAAAATCAAGCTAAGGGTAAGTTACCCCAAAACTCTTTTTTCCAATTCTCCGGGTATTTAACAGTTGCAAAATAAAAAGCAGTCGAGTTGAATTTATGCAAAAAAAGAATCTTTCATTCCCAAAAATTCTTGGGCAGTTTTTTCTGAAAAAGTTTTATTTTCATAAAAAAGCACTTACTTTGCCGATGTTAGTATTATCGAGAGCTGCATCAACTTCGTCCAGAATGAAGAACGGTGATGGACTACGTGCATGCAGTGCAAAGAGTAGTGCCAGTGCAGCCACTGTTTTTTCACCACCGCTCAAATTGTCCATAGGTTGGAAGCGTTTTCCAGGTGCAACACAATTGTACGCAATTCCATCCAAATATGGCTCTTCCATGTTTATTTCACCAAGAAATGCTTGTGCACTTTCGTTACGGCTTAATTTCTGCAAAAAAAGCAGTGCAAAACTCGAAATTCATGGAGGAAGATGACAAGGAATTTACGAGTGCATACCGTTTTGAGTGATAAAGCCTCAGGATCTATATGTGCTGTCACGTAATATGTTAAATAATGATTTATGGTCTTTTTTGTTAGAAACAGCATAAGGAACAATAGCGTCACTATGACTGAAATACCCCGGTCTCTAGTTCAACCTTTGGACATCCTACCTCGTTACAGTTTTGCATTCTCAGTAATCTCTGACTCCTGGGATATAAAAGCACTCCTACCCATCTTCGGGATCCAGAGCTATTCCAGAGCTACTCGAGAGAGCTACTCCCTATAACTTATCCCTGTTCTGGGGATTTCCGGCTTCCCAGAACCTCACTACCCAGTTAGTACTGTCTTCCACTATCTTACTTTATGTTATATTACTTTAGCTGATGCATATCACTATAAATACATAACTAGGTGTTTCCACCACACACACACACACATACACACACACACACACACACACACGCATACACACACAGGGCACGCCACTAGTCTAGCAAGTTCACCTTTAGGATCGCCATAATGCATGGGATAAGCAATACAAATTAACTTGTTTATGGGATCAAACTCATACCTTCTCTAAGCTTCTAAATGTTGAAATCAGTAGAAGTAACCCTGAAAGAAAGGCGATCCATTAAAACGATTAACCTTATAAATATCATCGATTTTTTGAGCAACCAGTTCGAAACATCCATGGAATCGATTGTAGCGTTCAGTCCGCACTTTCTCGAACAACTGTCGAAGTTTACGAGCTTTTTTACGCACCAGTTCACCTTCCTCAGTAGTTTCCGCTTCTTTTCCCTTCACTATTTCCATCCTGAAAACGCCAACAATCAGAAAATGGTAAATACCTTACTAGTATAGCCATTATTATTATCACTACTATTATTATCACTATTATCATTATTATCATCATTATTATAATCGTTATTACAATCACCATGAGCTGTTTTTATTATTACTATCATTATTATTTTTATTATTACCACTGTGATTACTATTACTATCGTTGTCATTATTACTACTACTATTATTATTATTATCACTGTTATTATCATTATTGTTATTATTACTGATGTTGCCATTATTGTTATTATCATTATTGTTGTCACTATTATCATTATCATTATTATTATTATTGCTATTATTACTATCACTATCATTATTGTCATTACTACTATTGTCGTTATCATTATCATTATTATTATTATTATTATTATTATTATTATTACTATCATTACTACTACTACTACTACTACTACTACTACTACTACTA